ATATATGCGTGTGTGTGTGTGCATATGTATCTATGTATATGTATACATAAATACATAAATGCATACATATATATATATATATATATATATATATATATATATATATATATATATATATTATATATTATTTATTTATATTTATATATATATTTAAAGATAGATAGATAGATAGATAGAGAGAGAGAGAGAGAGAGAGAGAGAGAGAGAGAGAGAGAGAGAGAGAGAGAGAGAAGAGAGAGAGAGAGAGAGAGAGAGACAGACAGACAGACATATATACATAAATTTCTAAAGGTTTATTAGTAATATGTAGTGATAAATATTTACAAGCTACATATTACCTAAGTGATTAATCGTCTGCATAATTCCATTGCATTGCAATTAACGATGACCGCATGTGCTTAACTCGATCCTCATGAAATTCTGAAAGGGAGCGGGGATCTTATGACACCGGTCCCAGGGGGGAATCCCCGGAATCTCTGAGTCTGGCGCAGATTTTATAACAAATGTAAGCAATTTCGTGAAAGCTTACCTCCGTGCAGTGATTCGCTGACACGGAATCACATGGTTCACGAGCGAGAAATACGAGATACATCATAGTGTATGACGTCGTAAAGATGATACAACAAGCAGAAATTATACTATTCACATTCGACATATAAAGCAGCATAAACCATACAAATAATTTGCATACCACCGTCTTTAAATGTCATGATGGATTATTGATTCAATAAAAAATACATATGTATTCACTGTTTCTTGTTGATTATTGTTATGCATCATCTAATGGCGAACATTTATTTTGCATTTTTTCTTTTTTTTTAAATATGCCAGGGACCGGTGATATATCTGCCATATTCCCATCTGTTTATGACCTACAACACATTTAAACAAGTGCAATAATATAACTTTATCCTAGATGATATGCTGAATATGATATCGTTTGACAGATACTGTACTTTATGCAATATCCTATTAAACAACTATTTCTTTCTTCTATTGGAAATTTTGGGAAGTCTTTTTCATGAATTGAAGCTTCGAATCTGTCTCATCCTATACAAAATGCGGTACGAAGCGGATGTTCGAAATATGATCGACAAGAGTTTTGGCCGTGACTGTTGTACTCTTTGGGCCGCACTGGTGCAGATAACAGTTCATCCCAACTCCGCCTTCCATCCTCATGAAATCCTACTCCTACCTCCCATAATCCGCCTTTATTTGTTATTAATTCTATATCAACTTTCAGATGCTACGAACCGCGGTGTACTCTGTTGCTGTTGGCTTGTGTCGCCCTGACTGTGGCAACGGCTTACCCTACATGGGAGACTCGGTCTGCGGTGCGTGAGGTGTGTTTCTCGTTACACTTTTCTGTCTGGATGTCATTATAATGGGGACTAAATGCTTGTAATTGTGTTTGGCACATGCTTTTTAACCCTTTTGCATCTATTTTATTGCCTTATTAGCATTACCAATAGCATTACCGGACATCAATAGTTCTTGTTTNAAAGCCTTTACGCGCCTGCAGATCAAGGATGCCTCGGAGTCCCTGGTGCCCATCCTGGTCCTCCCCGTGGATCCCCAGCGCTCCCAGGCTCTCAGAGTCGGACCAAGATCTCAGAAGAGGAACTCCGAGATCCTCAACACCCTGCTGGGCTCAGAGGCTCTCGGGGCCATGAGGAACGCCGGCAGGAGGTAGAGTCTGTCTACGAGAGCCTCCCACGAGCGAGAGTAGTGTCAACATTGTCCAAGAAGCACGAAGATCAAGCTATTCCACAAGAATTGATGTCTCAGGGTAATCCTTAATCGAAGTATCCAATTCGAAATAAAATTATTTAGAGCATTTTTTTTTCTTCATGAACTAACGGGTGTAATTCAAAAATAGGACGAATACTTTGTCTTTGGAGACCTGCATTGGTACTCAGACTTGAATATTATTATTTATATTAAAATAAGCTGTTTATTATGCTTTTGAAGGAACTCAGCTATCAGTCACAGATATCGATTTATCAAGTATTTAATCGTTTCATTACACAGAAAATATTATCTGTTTGGCCAAAAACACAATGATAAATCTGAAACTGAATAATAATTATCCAGGAAACGGAATGCAATGACAAAAATATCAAAAGAAATATCAAAAATAAAAGATTTTTGAAACAAAACATTTTATTTTTTTCCTCTACCAGAGTGGCTTTAATCTTATATATAAAAGGCATAATCGCAGCAGTGAGTAATATCAAGGATTCTAGACATTTTTCACTATGGCTGATCATGTGTATATGTATGTATGGATGTATATATATTTATACATATATAAATACATATATTTACATATACATATATATTAATCTACACACACACACAACACACACACACACATATATATATATATATATATATATATATATATATATATATATATATATATATATATATATATATATATTAAGTATATATATTATTGTATATTATTGTATAGATATATACATGTATGAACACAAGC